ACAGACTCAGGAAGATAAATATAACATATTGTCTCTCATTTATGGAATCTAAACTTAAGTAAAATTTAAAAAAAGATGAAAGTAGAAGGGAGCTATTTGGGAGGAGGAAGGGGACCAGTGACTGTGGGAGGGGGCAAGATAAGAAAGAATAATGGGAGGTGAACATGATGAGGTACCTGATATGCTGTATGAAATGTCATAACGAAAGCCATTGTTTTATACACTTTATGTATGCTAATAAAAAGAGGTATAGGCTTTTTTTGAAAAGGAGAGCTACTCAGCTGTATCAGATGATGCCGACAGGTCAAATATAACAAAAAATCAAGACCACTGATCTGTAGTAGCCTTAGTGGAATAGCGAGCATATGCAAATGGAAGACAGTCAATAATACTACACGGCGCTTTCCCGGTGGCTGTATAAGGGAATGGAGACATGCATTTAAATTCTAAAGAACTTAAGAGAAAATAAAATCATTTCAGTGTACAGTGAAAACAGAAATACTAACAGTTATAAATTTCTGAGCACTCAATCATGGTTGAATGCAGTTACTCGTGAATGTAGTCTCTGTTTTTATTTTTATTTTGGGACTAAGTATGTAGTTAATGTGAAACAACTACGAAAAAGGGTGGGAATTTTGGAAAGAGATGCTATGAGATAGGAGATTCAGCAGACCAATCACTCTTTTAACAATAAATACCTGCTCTAGCCAAGGATCAAACTTGCTTAGTAAAGGTGTTTGAATTAGTGAAGGGGTTTTGTTTCCATTACAATTGTTTGGATGTTTCTGAAATAACTGGACATCCACAATCTGGTTAATCGGAAACACCCAGCAGCAAGCCAATGTTTCTGCAATGCAGCACTGAGTGAGATTTTATAAGTTGGTTGGACTTTTGTACAACATTTCTTGGTCTAAAACACAAACACAGGATCCTCCAGGCTCCCCACCCCCAGCAGAGAGGACAGAATCTGTTGTTTCCTCTGTGTTTTGACACAGCAAGGAGGCTTCGGGAAAAGGAACAGGGCCTCAGCTTGTAACCTTGGAAACACTGCCCACAAGTTCACCTCTCCTCTTGGTTTTCACCCCCTCCCCTTTCTACCTGCCCTCCACGTTTCTCACTTTTCATCCTCTCCCTGAAACTTTCTCCTGCTCTTGAGCACTAGCAGTAGTTATTTAAAAGACCATAAAGCCCTGTTCCTCCCTGCATGTTAGTATTCTGAGGACATGTTTCTCTTTGGTTATCTCACAAACTCCAAAAGAAAAGGATCTCTCTCTGCAATGCTGAAGAATCCTGTTCCAGGACCTTTGAATTACCCTGTTGTAGTGGGCTTCTTCCACTCTGACATCTGTAGACTGCACACTGCCTCTCACTAACCTTATTCAACTTGCTGTGTTTGATGTCCCCTTTTCCCGTGGAACCAACTCACATGTTCTTGAAACAGTTCCAAACCCACAGCTGATGTTTTTCATTCTCAGGATCTCTTTTGCCTGTTCGAATTCCAAAACAAAGCTGTTTGTCCCTGGTTTAATGGTTGACTTTTCCCTGCCTTTTTGGACATGTACCCCTGGAGAGCCTAGAACTCACTTTATAGACTTGCTGGCCATGAACTTGTGGCCACCTTCTTGCCTCTGCCTCCTAAATGGTGGGGTTACAAGCATGCACCACTATGCTCACCAACATAGCCATATCTCTTTCTGTTTTTGAAGGCATGACTTTGGGTCAGCATGAAATGGTTTATACCTCAGGCAATGAGCCTGAAATGCAGAGAAAGTATCTGTATGGGGGTATTGAGGATCCAAAACCACAGCAGAGTTAATGGTCAGAGCTGGAAGATCTTCCATGGTTGCTTGGTTTCTCATTGTAAACACAGCCTCCGGACATAGTCTCTTGATCAGCTAAGCACAAGCTACAAGCAAAATGTCTTGGTCCAGGTGATGGGTCTATGAGTGCTGATCTAGATCTCTGAGTATGGTGATATCCGGCTTGCACAAATAAAGCCTGTCTGGGGAGTCAGAGAGTGGGGCTTGCCACTAGCTAACGATACAGGCTGGAAAGAAACTCCAGCAACATCAGAGTCCATTCTTGTCAGTACTCCAAGAACATCTGAAGTTAGTTCTCCAGTTTGGGGAATTATTCTGGAGGGAATATTGACAGTAGGAGTCATGAACTTTGATATTTAAAAGAAGGAGAGAAAGGAGAGAAAATAAAAGCCCGTTAAACAAGTGAGAACACTTGGGAACTTTAAATATTTGAGCAGAGGGATGATTTTTTTTTTCAGTTATGATTCCTCTTGTATTATTTAGTGGGTAAGATTATGGTTTGGAAGTGTCTGTTGTTATCCCCCACATTCCCCGACTGACTTATTTTAAAGGAAGACAATGTGGTAAGAAATGAAATCCTAGAGTGGGTCCCATGTATGGGTTCATTCGATGAAGGTTTAAAATACTAGAGGTGTAAACCCAACATTTACCAAAGATTTCCTTTACTCAGAGATTCGATGTGGGATTTGGAAGTTTCAGAAACTCAGTTTGATTCATTTCTGGAGCTTTATTAACAGACTCCCAGAAGCCCAGCTGCCCTGTCTGGCTGGAGGGTTTTTGCTTTCCATAGGTTGTCAGAATCCCCACGGCGAAGTGAGGTACAAAAGGCTTAGAGCAGGAGAAAGGCCATGAGCCACTCATGAGTAGACAAAGGATAGAACTGAGTCCACTGCACGCCGGATGATATGCTCTGGTCTCCAGCTGTGGGCCTGGACTGCAGGGACTTGACAATGAGTGGGTAACTTTGTCTCGCTTCATCCACATGCCGTGGCCCCCAGTGCTACTCACTTCTCTGCCAGCCACCCATTTCCTCTTCCGATGTGTTCAAATCCTCAGTGTTTCATCAGACATTTGCTCTTCCCCAGCCTGGCACTGTGCACTCCTCCCACCCCCTTAGAGCTGTTTTCCGAGCAAGGTCTACCTCTTCCACCCTTGTCCCCACTGCATATTCCACAATGGGACTGAAGGGAAGTGACTGTCAAGTAACAGGATTTGGAAGGGAATCAGAACTGGCTCGGCTTCTCTACTTCATTTCAGTATGAGTAATTTGAGGGAAAATATTTAAATTTCCTAAGCCACTTTTAAATATGAGCATACATTGTAGAATGTTAATTTACCAATCTAAAGCCACTCCTCTTTCCTTATTTCTTCTGCTGTAAATCAAGAAGGGCCCTCCTTGCCTACATGGGACCAATTACAATGACAATTCAACTAGCAACCTTAGTAGCTACTCAAAAATTACCCCTGTTCACTGGGGCCAGATGACATCCCTCATGGGTGAACTTCCTCATGACTTACCATCCCCATCTCCAGCAAACCTTATCAAATGACCCTAACGATGGGAGCTGCAGGGGGGAGGGTTCTGATTCTTAGAGGTTTCAAGAAAGTAAGCAGGCTTCATATCACATGACCTAGCCTGGCCTAGCACACAGGCCAGAGGGCACGGAGTCAGGTGCTAGGTAGGGCCATACACTTATCTTGCAGCCTCAAGAGGGAGGGGCTTACAAGATCACAGCACAGCATGTCTTCTTTTCAATTTGATGTCAGAACATGGGGGGGGGGTTGGGAGGGCTAGCGATCAAGCTGCAAGGGATGTGGACTGATTTTTGGCAAGAAAGGGGGCTGTAGTGGCTGTGATCTAACAGTAAGAACCATGGCTTTTTTTCTTTGTATGCCAGAAAGTAATGAAAAATACAAATTAACGATAAGCAGAAGGTGGAGCATGGATTGATTGCTTCTAATGAGTTTTGTCTTGATTAAAACATTCAGTTCGAGAGTAGTGTTAAAGTTGATAGCTACAAATTAATGTGAATGGAAAACAAGGGCCATAGAGCTCATTTCTCAACCACATAGTGAGTGCCTGTGACTGGGCTGTTTTCAAATGTGTTTTCCCATTTCTTCCCAAATGAGGAAGCAGAAGCTCAGCAGAGTGCAAGGCAAATACTTAAAACCCACCTGGCAGCGTTACTGAAGACAATGGGACAATCAGTATGACTTTAAAGAATCAGTAATGTTTACCCTTCTGAGGAAAGCGTGCTAAAGAAATGGAAGACATTATCTATAAGGGTGTCAGAAGTAAAGAAATAGGTATTGTCTAGTTTTACCTTTCAAACTCAATACCTTCAAGTGTCTGGTATACCCAACATTGTCATTTTAATCGTAACATTTTATGAAGGTGTCCTTCTTTTAAAAATTGATGGGCATTTAGCGATTATTATATTGTCAGGTGGCTGAGTCTATCAAAACCATTTGCAAGATTCAACATTTATGTAATATCAGGATATCTGCTTTGCAACAAATGACAAAGACAGTCCTTGCTCAAAGGCTTATAAATATGAAGGCCAGCTAAGAAACAGGGGGAAAACTAGAGCAGCAGAAAGCTATATCCAAAATATTTGCATGAAAGATGCCCTGTCCTTTAGCAATAAAGAAAGGCCTTACTAAGTAGGCTGTAGAAGGAAACTATTCATTTGGATGCTGTACAATAAGACTGGCTTGGTGATGAGACTGATTTGGTCTTTTGTATACAATGAAAAATGATTCACAGTTGGTACAGTGAAGGTGCTTCTCTGGGTATCAGAATATTATGGGATGGAATGAATGAAGTGGCTATGGAGTTTCCAAACAAGGTTTCCAGCCCTGGCTTTAATTTCATCCACTAGCAAAGGGAGTGGAGACTGTTCCAGTTTCTAAATAGAAGAATGCTTTAAAAATGAGAGATGTAGAGAAGCCAGCACTGCAGTCAGGGCCAGTGCAGAGCGCTGCAGCAGAAGCACAGTGGAGAGTGAAAAGGGCCACACAGACGTGGTAGAGCTAACACGGTGACTCAGGGTTACCTAGGAGGGAGAGATGGTGTAGCTTTAAATGAATGCTGTCCCAGGAAAAGCTTTTAGGAGATTTATAGACATAAGCTCCTTTCGAAGATGAACTCAAAATAATTTTGAGTAAAAAGGGAAAATATACTGTAAAATATTTATTTAATAAAAATAGTTTTATAATCTATACAATAAAAAGTACAAGTTATTTTCACTTCTTCGTAAAAGTGCATACAGTACAACCAGGACATTGGGTTCAGTATTCTACAAATATGGCCACACAGCAAGATGTGAACATATTTTTGATTTAGACAGGTAAGACAGATCAGATTGGGTGCCACAAGTTGTGGATTTAATTCCAAGGAAATATTGCTTTGGTAATGTGAACAATTTGATTGTACCACAACACATATTTAAAAACAGAATAAAATTTCTCAGACACAAAACTTCTTCTTTCTGGACAATCAACTTCCTATAGAGCTAAAAGAAAAGGCATGGGGAGGGTGACCAAAATGTAAAATTAGAGGTTGCTACTATGACCTTAGTTCTCCCTCTCCTTCTCAGTGTTCTTTCCCTTTCCCTAGCTGTAAAGGAAGGTGCACAGAAATAACCTATTATTACTCTCATTTCTTCCATCAGTTTTGCAGTATTGTCTTCTCAGTGCTGATGCTTGAGCAAGGGTATTCCTTCCACACACTGGTCAAGCTCTCTACTATGGAACATTATCCCAGCCCCAACATTAATAACACTGTTTAGCTGTTCTGTTCTTAGAAAGTTAACACTCGGGTTAAAAGCACCTACCTAGACACTTTGCACAGTAAGGCAACAAAGTTGGCTTTGAAATAGTTTTCAGGTCTCACAAATATTAGCTTATAGAACACCATTCTTTCAAGTAATGAGGAAATGGAGCAAATTTTAATTTAAAAATCTTTCAAGATGATCTCATCTTAGGAATAAAGGCAGGTTTAATGGTCCAGAATGCAGGCATTAAGTTGATCCTAGTTCCAGCTCCAATAAAATAATGAGAAAGAGGCTCAGTTTATGAAAAAGGCCTTAGAACAATCCAATTCCTACCGACATCTTCATCTTGGATAAGAAAGCCAAGATAACATGAAAGGCATATGGGAATGAAGTTGTTTCAAAGGAAAAGAGTTAATTTCCTTCTTTCTTTCTTTCTTTCTTTCTTTCTTTCTTTCTTCTTTCTTTCTTTTCTTTCTTTCTTTCTTTCTTTCTTTTTCTTGAAGTAAAAGGGTATGCAAACATAAAATGGACTGCCTGTATCTCTAACTTATAAATGACTTTTTCACTTGGAATTAAGAGTCCTTCATACTGAAGTATTAAGGACAAGCAAACCTACCATGACTCTGTGATTAGTTCTCCCTATTTAGATTAGCAGCAGGCTTTAAAATTTGCCTTTCCTAATGAAATGAGCTTCTCTGGGAAGCATATGAACAACTCAAAAATGTACTTCTAAAGAAAGTTTCCCAAAATACACAATGGTCAAAATGGGAACCAAGAACATTCATACAATGAATTAAAAAAAAAATTAGAAATCCTTAGATTTTCATCTGCAGAAACACACATGCCGGAGAGTAACACTGAAATTAGAAAGAAGTGATAGGGGCAAGTGCTGACAGAACACACTTCTATCATGACTACAACAGCCTGTGGTCTCCGAAGCCCTGATCCTACCATGTGACTATAAAATATCACACTCACATGCTAATCAAGGAAACAACAGGTGTGCCACTTGATCAGTCTTGATTACTTGGTTTCCAAAATCAAATTCTTCTTCTTCTACTTTTTTTTATCTAATTAGGAAAAGTTATTCTTAAATTAAAGCTCATAAATAAACCATGATAAAAGCTTCAGTTCTGGCTTCTCTCAACAGTATCATATTAACTCCTGGAATACAAGGTATTAATTGAGTAGCTGCTTTGAAGCCATGAAATACACATTCATAAATATTTATCTGAACCATAAAGAGTTTAAATACATCCAGGCAGTTGCTGTGCAGAGTCCTTGCTTGGAAGCAGCATCACTTGAGCAGCATGTTAGGGAGTAGTTGCTTGAGGGCTGGAGCTGGGATCCTCCTGCTTTCTGCATTTCTTTAGGACACTGAATGCACCGTTAGCCAGGAAAACTACAGAGATGACCGCAAAGTAACTGGCATAAATCAGGAACTACAAGAGAGGAAAGCAGTCATTCGTAAAATTACCAGCTAGAGATGAGCTGCTTCATTACATACATGCAAACGTACTCTACACAATTAAAGGTATGTCTAGAGCTTCCCAATCAAACTTCAGAAATGGTGCATGCTTACACATGTGCCAGACACTGAAGACAGAAGCACACTAGCAGGATACTGATGCCCATCCAGTTGCCTAAGTGTAAATCCTGGCTTTGTGTCTCTTCCTAGATGTAGCCTACATGCAGGTATTTACTCTCGGGGCTAGAGAGATGGCTCAGCAATAACAGCATTTGCTGCTCAAACATGAGAAGTACGGTTGACTCCCATAGGCCTGCAACTCTAGCACCAAAGGATCAAACATCCTCTTCTGGCCTCTGTTGACACACACACACACACACACACACACACACACACACACACACACACAGTTTAAAAAGAAGAAAAACACTCTTGATAGTTAATCTCAGAGCCTTGGCCTAGTTTACAAAATGGAATTTTAAACAATTCCTGTTTTCCAGGGCTTTTTGGAAGACTCGAACACAGTCATGTACATAAAGGTTTACCAGCACAGTGTCAATGTTATGGACACTATTTTTGTTGTTAGTGCTGTTATTGTTTCTAAATGAATCATGGTCTGTATCCTCAAAATGATGGGTGGGTATGCCAAAGAGATCAAGAGCTTTTATTTCCCACCAGGAGAGGGCACTAGAATAATTTTTTCTGAGAAGACTCTTATTTGATGTGTGTGTGTGTGTGTGTGTGTGTGTGTGTGTGTGTGTGTCAACATCTTCATTACCTTTTTCTTCTTAAAATAACTTATTAAATATTACAAACAGGTTCAGGTACAACAGTATGGCCCTAAGTCTGAGCCAGATTCTTTAAAACTTGACTATATTTTGACAGGAAAGGTGTTAATGATTCAGGGCAGGCAGTTTCAACATAGTCCACAAAATGTTATTCTTCCACAGTTAAGTAAGCCTTTTGTTCTGATAATGTGCTCTTAAATATCCACTCCAGGGGTCACTCATATTTCTTCAACTGTAATGGTCTGGTAATCTTCCTCACAAAATGGGCAGGATGAATCACTGTTCTACTCAAGAACAGCTTCTAGGCTAAATGCTGACTTAAATCCTCTCTACCACACTGCTCTTGATTGTCTGATTTTAGTAAAATCACTTAATACCTCCCAGACTCATTTACTTGATATCTAGTACTGATAACTCTCTTGTCGGATAGAATTGAGAGAGAAGCACTCAGTACAAGTACTTATTGGTTTTATTTCTCTCGTAGATTGCTTAATGAAAACAAAATTCATTAACACAAACATGTCTAGTCTGGTATCTAGGAAAAATTCATGTGTAAGAGTTAAGTATTGAGTAATAATGGAAATTCAGGAACAAGGAAAAGGCTGGATGTGGAGACAGGTTCCTGGAGACACATCCAGACTTCCTGATTCAGCTGCTTAAAAACTCTACTTACACTGTAAAATTATAGTATATGAGGCCATTTACAACAATTCCAGAATGGATGAAATCGCCATTGTTTGAGTGTTTGCATAAATGATTTCTCAACAGGTCACATGTTGAGAATCATAACACTTATCAACAGTAAGTCATTAACTTGATATGTGGGTGGTTCTTAAAGAGCTTGAGGTACCATGAAGCAGGACATCTCATACTGCACCACATCTGGTGTATAGATTAAGAGTAAGGGGCTGGAGAGATGGCTCAGCAGTTAAGAGCACTGGCTGCTCTTCCAAAGGACCTGGGTTCAACCCCCAGCATCCACAGGGTGGATCACAACCAACTGTATTTCTAGCTCTAGGGACCAAACATCCTCTTCTGGCTTCAAGGCACCAAGCACACATTCGATGCACAGAAATACATGCAGGAAAAATGCCACACATAAAACAAAAGAAGATGGTCATTAGTTCAGCAGAAGAGCATCTGCTTAGCATGCTTGAGGCCTCAAGTTCCTTTACTAGAAAAGGAAGAGGAAAAGACAGAAAAGAGTGGAATATGGACAAGGGGGTAAAAAGGCTGAGCCTGGAAGGAATCGATATTATCTCTCAGCTGAAACAGGCTAGTTAATTGCTCTAGGTCAGTGGTTCTCCCCGTTCCTAATGCTGCGACCCTTCCATACAGTTCCCCATGTTGTGATGACTTCCAACCATAAAATCATTTTCATTGCTATTTCATAATTGTAATTGTGCTACTGTTATGAATCATAATGTAAATATCTGATATTTGGCTCCAGTGAAAAGGTCATTTGCCTCAAAGGGGTGGGGACCACATGCTGAGAACCATTGCTCTAGGCCCTCATCCTCCATAGAAAAGAACAGCGGCTGAAAGAATCTGCCAGTGTGGGAATTTGTTTTCAAAAAACATGTTCCACACCTGTCATTTCAGACTGTTTTCAGTGTCAATGAAGAGATCTTACCTGTGTGGTAATCTCTAAGCCAAGGCCCTTGTTATCAACCACAATTAGAGTGAGCAGGGTCTGCAATGCCAGGGCAATGAAAGTGTTTACACCAAACACAAGGGCGTAACGTTCCATGCTGAGGTTTGCAGCAATCTGAAAACTTTTTAAACAGAAAAAATGATTAGAGTAAAATTACCACTTCCTGAATTGTTACTCATTTTTACCTTTTAAATGTGAACACAGTCCCTTCTTTCCCTTGCCCATTACCTTTCCAACAATGTGAAACATCTTTTGTTACTATATGATATAAATCTTAGGAAAATAGTAGGATAAAAATGCAAGAGAACAAATAATTCTTGCCTAAATACTCCTGAGGAAAAAAATGTACAATAACTATAATTCAATGCTTCCTCCCATTTGCCCCCTTTAAATAGAAATTTTAATATTTTTGGTTTATAAAGAAACCCATGTTTATCTCGCCATAACTTTTCCTAACCCTTCTCTCAGTTAAAATACATACGTTGCTATGGTGATGAGTACCATGTAGATGATTCTGAAGACAACATAGGATGTATAGCACACCCAAATGTTATTCACAGTGTCCATGGTATACACTGCAGCAGCAATCAGGAGAGAACAGAGGAATAGCGTCATTTCTCCCCAAGTTGACCAGGATATTTTTATATAACCAACTGCAAATACAGCGCTTGCACCTACAAAACAAACAAAAAAGTAATCTACTTATTGACTAAACAAACTCTAGTTCAACACATTAAAAATTCAATTGTTTTATCTTAAAATCTTTATAAACTTATAAATTAGGTAGCTCAAGAATATGGAGGGAGGTACTTGAAACTCAAGCAGAGAATTTTGAACTTGGTGGAACAGTATGGTACCGCTGAGAGGAGACTGCATTAAGTTATGTGGCAATTATATGGAAAAGGACACAGGCCCAGGGATATTACTAAGGAGATAACTGCTTGGCCTAATGCACAGGTTAGCATCACAGAAAATCACTGCAGCTGGTTTGGCAACATGGCTGGGTGAGTCTTGGTGTTTCAGACCAAGAAGCAATCTAGTATATACAAAACTGCTTCTCCTCCCTTTAGTGAAACGATGATGATGAGGGAAACTACAAAAAATACAGGCATGCTTTCTGGGTGCCAGCATAATTAGTATGTGCTTATAGCTGTTGTGTAAAACCTTCCAACAACCTTATGAATTAGGGCAATAAATGAGAAAAGGAAAACTGAACGTGTTATCAAGAACATAGGCTCTGAAGCCACCATGCCCAGGTTCCAATCTTTTTTTCACAACCTACCCTTTTATGGTCTTAGGCAAATTATTAACATGTCCAAAATTCCCAACATCAAATGACAACAATAGTTGCAACCATCTCAGGAATTTGGGACTACAACAAATATACACGTAGGACAGTGTTCAGTACATATTAATACTCAACAGATATTCGCTACTGTCATAGACTATAACACACTGCTACTCAAAATCTCAGTAAACGTGTAAGTGGAACATGGATAATTGAAGAAATCTATCTGAAAATTAGTACATTCCATTTCTGCCCAATATGTTTGTCAGTCAGAGTCTTCTACTGCTTGATTTCTCTTAAATCAGAAAATCAGAGCTCAAAACTAACCCTTCCTTTGGGCTACTTAAGTCTGGGAGGAGTGAGTAAACCTAGTTACGATTGGCTTAACTTCTTGTGGGCTCTCCCTACACTTCCTCACAACTTACCCAGCAAGGTTGACACAGCCTCCACACCACCATTGTAGATAACGGCACTTTGAGAAGGCATCACCTTCTCCCACAATCCCTGGGTGTAGTTCACCACTTGAAAATAGCCGCAGGTGGAGAGGGCCCACCACACGGACCAGCAGAGCAGAGGGCGGGAAGAGTAACAGATCAAGAAGTCATTCCACAGGACTTTCAGCACACGCAGCCGGTCTGGCTTGGGCTCCTACAGAGGGAATGGAAACAGCTCTAACTCGATGGTGGTTAATTGTGCGATAATTATGCAAGCTCAGTTTTCTATCTCAAGAGAGATTTTGTTTTTTTTTTTTTAAAACCAAATGCTTTTTTCACTCAAGTAAAAACGTATATATTTGAAAAGAACAACAGAATGTGTTATCAAGGACATGAGCTCTGAAGCTATTAGGAGTTTTAATCCTGACTTCACTGTTTGCAATTACATGACCTTGGGCAAATTATTAACTATCCAAAGTTTCCACTGTAAAATCACACACACACACACACACACACACACACACACACACACCTTTCATATAATATAAACTTCGGAGTTAAAGCATCTTTCTGGTTACAAAGAATGGGTGGGGTATACTAAGTGTTGGACTCCAATTCTGAGAAACAGCTTTATAATCATTACTTGAATTTTTCTGTTATTCCCTTCCTATCATTCTTTTACTACTGTTCTATAACAAAACAACAAAACATCATTTGAAAATATAAATAGCATATATCACTTCTAGCATAGAAAAGGAAAATTATTTTGTATCTTTAAATACTTAGAGTTTCAATTCAGAAACTACAAGTAGACACAAATCGCCAATTGAAACATTTCAAATACTCATTAAGCAAACATTTTCTGAGTGCTTTCTTTATATATACCAATCAGGAAGAATACAAAAATGAAGACACAGCCCAGGACATCTCTTCCATGATACATAATGCTGGGTCAGTCTGACTTTGATGATTAGGCACTCTAGGGGGGAAGTAATTGATTATCCCTTACATAAATCAGTTGCATCTTAATGAGTGAATGAACCAATGAAATGGGCTTGCCTGTCTGTTTCACTGCCATTAGCCATGCCCAGAACAGCAACTTCAAATTTAAGGCTAAACTCACCGGTTCCTCCACAGGAGGTTCATCTAAATTTAGAGGAATTTTTGACTCAATGTCCTCCCATCCAGGAAGGTGGTTAGATGCTGGGTTTTCAGTAACGATGCCACCATTTTGTACCTTGATGCCATTCACTCCATGACAGGAGGCAGGAATGTGGTGAAAGAAGAGACTCTTCTGTGGCATGGGCAGAAACCAGGCCACAGCAAAAGCAACAGAAACACAGGTGAGGGAGATGACGTTCAAGCTGAACAGTGGCCAGTGAGCCACTGACACAAGGATTTGCCCTAAGACAGAGCCCACTGTGAAGCCTACCAAGGTGGCACTTCTACAGTAACTTGTGACTTTCTGGTACATGCCCAGGTCGACCACACTGTAGATATAGGAGTAATAGGCAATTTCAGTGGCTGTGGCAATGCCATAGAAGAATTCCAAGAACTGAATAGCCAGCAATCCTTGGGCATAGAGCAGCATGAACCATGTAACAATAAGGCTGAGTCCCTGAAGCAGAATGACAGGCTTGTAACGGAGGTAGTCTGTGGCAAGGAACACAGGAAAGAGGAGCACCAAGTAAGAGTACGTCCAGACGGGGTAAATTTCATTGAAGACCTGGGAAGGAGAGAATAAGAGCTTGTCAGTGACCAAAAGACCCAACGAGCCATAAAATTTCACTCTGACAGATCAGCCTACCAACATCCCCTTATCATTCTGAGAAACACTAGCTACCAACACTTCCTTATCATCCTGAGAAACACTAGCTACAGTAGGTTCACATAACTATCTGGAATAGCCTTTCCTATCTCCACCCCTTTATTTTTCATAATAAAATTCTTTCCATCAAGAGCCTTATTATGTAGGCCAGGCTAGGCTAGACTCAAATGCACTATGTAGGTCAAGCTAGTCAGGGACTTTAGATTCTCTTGTTTCAGCCTCCCAAGTACTGAGATGCCTCTCCTTCCATGTCCAGGTCCTTTAAGGGTTCTGAGAGGTAGACCTAGCATCCATCTGTATAATTTAATAGCCAGCCTACTGTTTGGAAGACTCAAGGGCCAATAAATGTTTTGGAAATGAGATCATTGCCAGCTCTTACCTTTTGGATGTATTATAATTAATTCTCTTGTAATTTTATTCATAAATACAAAAGTATTTAGATGATAATCTATTAACTCTCTCCTCCAACTCCTCTGAGACTGCCCTCACCAACTTCATTATTATCCCCCACTCTTCCATACCCCAGGGACCAACTAGCACTGCTTGTATGTCTACAGGTGTGGGTTCAGAGCCATTCACTGAGGCACGAGCAGTGTATTATGGGCCACCCTCTAATATCAGGGTATAGTGAGCTTTCTCAGATTTTAAGTTTGCTCTTTGGGGAACAGAAGAAAACAGTATCTGTCCTATGCCTTGATGGAATAACTCTCCCTTGGTGGTAGAATTATAGGCAACATAATTTGTAACATGAAATAAAATGTAAATTTTGGTGTTTTCTTTTCCTAAATAAAACAATAATTTACATAGTGTACACATTAATGAGATACGATGTATCTTGATAAACATATACACTATGCAATACGAAGCTCGGGGTATTTAAGCCTAAATTCATTATCTCAAACATTTATCATTTCTTTATAACAGGAACACAGAATCCTCACTTTAGCTATTTGACTTGTATGACATAAGGTTAACTGGAACTTGTTGCTATTTTCTTTTTCATGCACAATTTTAAATTGGGAATCCTATAAAAATAACCTTTAAAATATATTTTAAATAAGGACTGAGTTTGGAATTTCAGTTCTGTTACTTGTGTAAATAGGAGCTGTTCTTCAACTTGGAATGGGTAAGTGCTAATAAACTTGCTATCAGCTGAACATAAATTAAACACTATATTTGGGTTGGGAGACGGTTCAGTTGGTAAAGTGCTTGCCACCCAAGCCATGGGGACCCGAATTCAGATCCCCACTACCCACGTAAAAGGCTGGGTACAGAGCCTGTACTCTTAGCACTGGGAAGAGACAGGAGGTTCGCTGAGCTTGCTGGTCATCTAGCTAACTTAGCCACATTGGTGAGCTGCAGGTTTTGTGAGAGATTACCTCAGGTTAAATGTCCCACCCCCTCATTCCTGAAAACATAAACACACATCACACACACACAACGCAGTTAATATACACACCCTGCAGCACCTCCTCATTTGCAGCACAGAGCCCTGTACAGTATTGGTTATTTTCCTTGATGAATGAAAGGCTGAAAGGGAGCTGGGGCTCACTGCTATGGCCTGGCATTAGAATAAAATGTCATTGCTAGTGCAGGAAAAGGTCAAAATCAAAATCCAGAATACAACACACTGAATGAGTACTGTTCTAATAGTATCGTAAAGCTGAAAAAGATAAGCTTAATAATTGTAACTAGGGGTTATGGATAGGTAAGTTTCTCAGTTCCCCTTAGAATTCATCTTTTACCATCAGTTCAAGAGGATAAAACAAACCTGCACTATTGGACAGTCTGTTGCAAGGATTACATGCATAATCACTTATTTACTCTGCTTTTTCACAGGTCTGAAAACTAGAAGACTGAATTGAAAATAGGCTATTGGACCAGAACCAGTTAGACTGTGAACCTCATTTCCCAGATAACAACAATCGCTGAAAATGTCCTTTTAAAGGGAGCTCACCACCTAGCAATGTCTTAAAGGGCTATGCCAGTTAGTCTTTGGTATTTCTGTTTTGTTGTTGTTGCTTTGAGTTCTTTGGAGTGGGGGTCCTAGCTTTGCAGTTGTCATGACTGATTTGGAACTTGCTATGCAGACCAGAATGGCCTTGAAATTTGCAGAGTCATAATTAAGAACTGTAGAAGGGATTCTTTGTCAAAGTGCTCAAATTCTAATAAATGAGAAACAAAGTGTTTCTGTGTCCCTTAGCAAGGGAACCTTGAGAAAGAGAGAGAGATATGTGTGGTGAGGCAAGCAGTCTTCCAATGAGCACCTCCCTGCTCCCCTTTACCCTGTACTTCCAGACACTACTCTCCCTCAGTCTCTAAAGTTTGACTGTCTCCTGAGTGACTCAGCATGTTTCTGTGCGTTCACAGGTCTCTTAATGCCTTTTTCCCTACCACGAAGCTATTGGCCAACAACCTCTCCTTGAAAAGTATTCTTCGCAGGTGCACAATGAGCTATTACTGGACCACACAGAAGAATGAAACCCTGTCACCTGCAGCAACATGGGTGGAACCAGAAGATGTCTTTTAGGTTAAATCGCCCAGACACAGAAAGACAAATGCTACATGCTCACTCTCATACATGGAAGCCAAAACAAGCCAAAATAAATACAGAACAGTGATTACCTCAGGCTGTAGCTGAAGAGAGATGGAGTGGGTATAGGTAACAGGTGCCACAGCACAGCTGAGACAGTCATTCTATGCTCTGAAATGAGTGTAGTCAACAACAACCGATTATATACTTTATGAATAACCAGAAGGGAACAGCTCAAGGGCTCCAAATATAAGGAAATGGTGGAGAGATGAATGTCAGTTGTTCTAATCCCTGTATCCTGTATGCATGTATTGAAATTAATACATGAATACATACAATTATATGCCAATAAAAAGTTTAAGAATGGTCTCTATTGCTTCCTTCAGCATCCCACCTTCTTTTGTACCCAAGTTTTGCTCAACTGTTCAATCTAGTAATACTGTTTAAGCTTAGGCATGTAACTTCCAGCAGTGGCTGTCCTTAAATGATTAATTGTCAAAATTTCATTGGGTAAGTCCTATCCTTTATCAATTTAAAGGGTGTGGTAGTGCATGCCTGTAGACTGAGGCAGGAGGAACACTAACTAGTTAGTTCAAGGCCAGTTTGGTAACATAGTGAGACCTTGTTTCAAAATAAATAAATAAATGACACTTAGGAGGTCAACACTACACCAACATAAACCCACAATTTAGATAATTGAAGATGAGGGAAAGTAATACTAACAGCCTTGTGATAGCAACTAAGTATGGTTAAGGGATGGGATGGGTGGGTTCTCTTTAACTCCCTCTAATTAACAGACCTGTTTTTCTCCTACAAGGAACATCAAAGAAGAAGAAGAAGAAGAAGAAGAAGAAGAAGAAGAAGAAGAAGAAGAAGAAGAAGAAGAAGAAGAAGAAGAAGAAGAAGAAGAAGAATACCAGCGCTTTGTGAGCCTCCTCTTCCACTACCAGCACCATGGCAGCACACCCTGAGAGTATCCTATATACGACTCTGTGAACTTTACCTCAGTTATTTCCAGTTGCTCCAAACAATCCTAAGAAGTAAATGCGTAAGCATCAATATTTTATAAGAAGGAAACTTGGTGTTAGAGAATGTTGAATTATCCAAAGTAACCACAGCCAGGACTGGCAGAGAAAAGATCTGAACCAAATATACCCCAATCCACCACACCAAAACATCTCCTTTCTTCATTTAGAAACCTGGTGTCAATTTGGAATGTCTTAATTTACTTCTAGGGCCTTCAGAAGTTTACCATCGCTGTGGATGTACCATGACAGGGATTCCTCAAGAGATGAAGACCAGTCTCTAGGACTCAGTCGCAAATGACATTCTTTTTACACATTTCTGGTAGAGAAGCCCTAACACTGGAAGACATTCCTTTAAAAGATATTTTGAGCCAGGCAGTGGTGTTGCATGCCTTTAATTCCAGTGCTCAGCAGGTGGAAGCAGTCAGATCTCTGTGAGTTCAAGGCCAGCCTGGTCTACAAAGTCAGTTCCAGACAGCTTGGGCTGTTACACAGAAAAATCCTGTCTCCAAAAACAAAACAAAACAAAAAACCCCTGAAAACATGGTGGGCCCAGAAAGATAAAGAAGACAAGAATTCACACATACACACACGAAGACTATTCCAAGCAGAGATAATGCATTTGAGTACTGGGCCATACAGGAGTTGAATATGCCAGATTTGGGATTGTCGAATGAATGAAGCCTGGGTGTACAGAAGGGGCAAAGGAGTCTACCAGGCTCAGAGTATCAAGCAGAATGTATGGAATGGTTTTACAAGCCCAAGAAAAGCAGTAAACATCAAAACCACATGCTACCAAGAAAAGATAAAATCACTTCTTAGAGACAAAGAGTTCTGTTGGGTATGGTGGCAAATGCTTGTAATCCCAGCCACCTGATAGGCTGAGGCATGAGGATCACAAGTGCAGGAATACTCGGGGCACCTTAATAAAAACATCCATAGAGAACGGTCAATGGCACTAGAGAGATGGCTCAGAGGTTAGGAGAACCTGCTGCTCTCCCAGAGGATCGCAGTTGGTTTCTCAGCACCTGTGTCACATGTCAGCTGGTTCATAATCCACTTGTAACTCCAGCCACAGGATCCTACATACATTACAAACACTCGCATGGACATGCATGTAAAAACAAAATTTAAGAAAAAAAGTCTGGAAATGTAGCTCAGAGGTATAGTGCTTACATAGCATGCAGAAGGAGCCCTGGATTCAGGCCCTACCATCATAAATCAATCAATAAATAGCTAGCTAGCTCTTATTGATGTTTGGTTTTTCAACGATTGGGATATAGTCCAATTATAACCTGCCTCAGCTTTTAAAGTGGTAACTTTATAATACTTTTCCTATA